TGCAACAAATTTAAAGAACACTATGAAAATGTTATATTTAATGAACAATCCTTTTACAAATCTTCATGTCAGGTCAGCAAAATACTGCAAACTCTGTCTCAAGTTCACCAAAAACTCGAACCTGCTTTTCAAACTCCCTCCTGTCCTGTGGTCTCGTCTCTGTGTTTCCTGCCAGCGTTAACTCCAGCTGCACACAGATCCTTCAGACGGGGAAAATGAGCAAGCTCACCGTTTGCAGCTGTGTCTCCCACAAGGTCAGCTTGAATGTACGAATGATGTCATTATATTGTGTTACAACTTTTTGGTGGTCTTACAACCTTTTGTTCAGATTATTCAAGAACTCTGTAACATCCACCAATAATGCAATGTCCTGCAGCCATTCTGGAGATTTAAATTCCTTCACTGGTTTCGCTTTTTTTTTCCTCCATGAACTGCTCAATTTCCTCCCGCTGATGGTAGAAACGCTTCAGTACAGCTCCAGCTTAACCACCTTACGGTGTGGTATGGCAGGTAATGTTTTTGTCACTGAGAAAGCAGTCAAACTGTTCATGGTTCAGACCTCTTGCTCGGATAAAATTAACAGTGCAAACAACTACCTCCATGACGTGATACGTTTTTAAGGACTTATAACACAGTCCCTCCTGATGAAAAGTCCCATCTCCTCTGTTTGTGGCTTGTACTATCTCTCAGAGTTTTGTCACAACACCTGTCTTTTTCCTGATTATTGATGGTGCATCATTGGTTGCAGGCTGACAGTGAGGGACCAGTCCACTCTGACTCTGTCCAGTGCTCCGACAAGAGAGGAGATGTCATCAGCTGTTCTGGTATCCATCAATGACACTAACTCCAGAACCTCTTCTGTGATGGTTAACATCTTATCAACTCCACGAATAAACATGGCCAGCTGAGCAATATGTGTGATGCCACGAAATTGCAATAAATGAATTGACGTCTTGTTTCAGCTGACTGAGAGTTCAGAAATCCTATCAACAGCAGTGTTTCTGGTCTGGCTAATGTTGGCAAAAGCTTGTCTCTTCTCAGGGCGTACGATTTCTGCCACCTAATCATGCATGTTTTTACAAACTCACCCTCAGTGTACGGCTTGGATGCTAATGCTATTTCATTAGCAGTTAGGTAGCTAGCTTTCACTGCAGCATCGCTAACCTCAGCTCCGGATGAAAACAGACTATTGTTTCTTCAGATTCACCAACTATTCATGTTTTCTCAGTTGTCCTTGCAAGCTGTTGTGTCATTATTATATTATATTATTGTATTTTTCACCATGTTGTGTCTCTTAGTGGCACAGAATACTACATTCCTTGAAGACTGAAACTTGCTGCATACAAACCAAGCACTACTTCTGTTAATAAATAGGAACTTGTCCATTTTTTCCTGAAAAACTCGACACTATTTGTCCACTTTTCTCCTTTTGGACAGTATTTTTGATGAAAAGGATGCCAGAGTGAAAACACGTCCACAGCACAAGGCAAACATTACAACTGCTGGTTAGTTCTGAGTCATGTTATTTCTGTTGCTACTCTGGCTGTGTCTCAATTCGTGGGTTGCAGCCGACGCAGGTCACATCTGTCTGTCACTGATGTCACTGCCCCGTGCCGTAGGCTGTCTCAATTTGTAGGCACCTACTCACGTGGCTGATAAAACCCTGAAAACATCACCTTCATCTGAGTATCTAACTCGGCTAATGGTATCACAGAATTCATGGCGCCGTCAGCAAATTAAACAGACAAACAAAGATGGTAGAGATTTTTTACTGAATTTATTCATGTATAATACTAGAAATTTAACCCTAAAAATCATCCATAAAATGGGGTAGGGGAGGTGTCAGTAGTATTTCACAGGTTATTTATGATTCGATTTTATGCTTTTTAAGCTCAAAAACAATTATCGTATTACAGTATACTCGAGATCGTGTTATACATGAATAAATATGGCAAATTTTACAGCCAAGTATTTTTTGTTGTTGTTTCTTTTTTTACAGTGGAGTTTGGAAATTTATCACAGACAGAAGAGTGTAAATTAAGCAACTTGGCTGAAACTTTTGTTGCAATAAGATGTTAAATGGCAGCCCGACGGCTCGGTGGTTAGCATGTCGCCTCACAGCAAGAAGGCCATGGGTTTGATTCTCTTGGGTCTTTGATTTAATACTTCATTTATATTTGTGGTCAAATTTTTAGGTCCAAGTTCACTGATGTACATGGAGAGTGAAGGCTGCTACCCTTAGAGACAAACAAGACAACCATTCAGCTCCACTTAGACTTGCCAACTAACCTAAACATGCATCATGTGTTTTTTGTCTGCTGGAGGAAACCGGAGAACTCAAAGAAAATCCATGCATGCATACGGAGAAGATGCTAAGTGTAAGAAAATCCCCAGGCTGGGAAGTGATTCTGTTCTAACAACTGTTGTGCCACCCTGAAGCCTTCACGCTGTTTTTAACAGAAAGTCAGAGCACAGAATGTTTTAACATTCCTAACTCTGTGTATCACCTGTGCAGTGTCCACACTGATTTGTGTTTACCACCAAAGGCAAGCTGAGTAATGAAGTGAAAGATAGTAGGCTGGTCTGATGACTCATGTTTTGTTTCACGCCATGTAAATGGTCCATGCGTCTGTGTGTTGTTGAAGAGAAACAGCTCCAGGCATTAAAGAAATCAAACTAACAGGAATCAAATTTAAGTGTTTTAATTTTAACTTATCTTTGTTATTTTTAGTGTTTCAAATTTATTTACTTTTTTATTGTTGAATATTTTGTCTAACTAAATTGTACAGTACTTTGGTCAACTTTAGTTGTGTGTCTGTGTGAGTGGTTCTCTGTACAGTGGCTCAGAAGAAAGCGCTCCAGAGAATAATAAAGGTGGCTCAGGACATTGTTGGATGCCCTCTCTGAAGGAATTACACAGATTCTGTTGCCTCCAGAGAGCACAACACACACACACACACACACAGAGACTCATCACACCCCGGGAACAATTTGTTCATCAGACAACCATCAGGTAGAAGGTTCACTGTGAGGACCAGGAGGAACAGACTCAAGATCAGTTTCCAATGGCAAACTTCTAAACACACATGGTTTACTTGGTGCTGTTATGGTTGTGTGCAATAATGTCTACTTGACACTTTGAAATGGTCTACTGTTATTTTATTTTATAATGTTCTTATTTAAATACAGTATGGGAGCTACAAACATCTTGTTCATTGTTTTTGATTCTTTTTCAGCGCAACGATGACAATAAAGTTTATCTACCTACCTACCTACCTACCTACCTACCTACCTACCTACCTACCTACCTACCTA